ATCTACTTTTAGTAAAATATTCAGGGTGCTTGATTTTAGCCTATCTGCAGGGTTGCTCCCTGATTTCCAGTGGGTGAAATAAGATTGTTCTCATTTCTACGCGTTCTGCCTATGCAGGGAGAGCTCATGCAAGAAAAGTGTCATCTCTTGTGTTTCTTCCCAGTGCAGGTCATCCTCTTGGGTTTACTTTGGATCACCTCAGTTTACTGAGATGTGTTAGTGCTTTCTCTTGGCATTACACCTCTCACAAAAGTGACACACATGGGAAGTGCCTTCCCACTGCAGCCAGGGCTCGAGGATGTCTTGGAGCAGCAGATCCCAGCTTGTGCCTCATGAGAGCAGTTCATGCAGTTTTGAGCATCCTAAAACAAACTGGGAAGGAGTTTCATAATGCCAATTTTGAAATCACTTTTCATGACATCTCAAACTTCACCTCTTCACTCACCCTTTCCTCCTGCTGTCCCTGAAGAAACTCTGTGAAATCAGTGTCAGATCTGTAGATGCCTACTGCAAGCTACAGGTCATACTAATGAACTCATATCCACTTAAAATGTAATTATTTTAATGTTCCATGGCTGCTCATGTGCCCACACTGCTGCTGGTGGTACTGAGTTTGATGTCACACCCAGATCCAACATTTTCCAATGAATCCCAATAGATCACAATCACCTTTCCTGCCCTTTGATATGCACACACAGCATTGGATTGTTGCAGGCTGAAGCCAGCTCTGGGTCCAGGTTCTGGGGCCAATCTCCACTTGCAGAAAGCACCTGGCTCTGGGAGGTATAAGGTGAGCAGCACAGAGGGGATGAATTTACCAAGCAGCACAGTACAGGGAAAAGCACTGCAGTCCACAGCACCACCTCAAAGCCAGGCTTAATTCACTCCCAATCCATATTCAGTTTTCAGCTATTGGTCTAACAGTGCTGTTGCAAAGAAATTCTCAGACAAAAAAAGAAATGAAAAATTAAATAAATTTGATAATTAAATTTCACAGCACTTGTACAGAAACCCAGCACACAAAGAGCTGTCTTGGATTTTTCTGCAGTGAACTTCTCAAAGTGAAGGGGCTGCACCAGTGGCCAAACACACACCTCATCCAAAAAGGTCACTGCAGGGCCTCTCCCAGAGAGACCTGAAGTGGATTTTTTGCTAAGGTGGGATGCTGAATATGAAGTCCCAAACAGAAGTTTACTGCTTCAAAGCTGTATTTATGAACTACCTGAAGTGGCTGGCAGCCACGTACATGTTGTGGGAAGGCAATTTTTTCTTTCAAGGAAAATATTTTGTCAGATCAGAGCTGTGGGGTTATGACCAGATTCTGAACAGGGGTAACCAAAGGGAAGAGGCACAAAGATGAGCTCTTGGATATTGCAGAAAGCACAAGATGAGCAAAACCTTTAAACTCCCAGCCTGAAGTAGAAAGTATTTTAAGTTTCACATCTGCAAATCACTTTCTAGTTTGACATTGCCCTACCCTAGCTCTTCCTAAACTGTGTATATTCAAAAAGCAAAATAACTTAGCTGGGAAAAGAGCAACTACATGGGAAAGCAAGCACTGTGAATACCACACATAGTCTTTAAAATGAAAACAAGCTCGGAAGAAGTTGCTTCCAAGAAAAACAAGGAAAATGCAGAGTAACAGGTTAGTCTATGTTTTGAACTATGTGTGGGAGGAGGAAGTGAAGGGAAGACAGGGTATGTTATTTGAAACAAAGACTGAAGACTGCACCTACTTTCCCTCACACACTGCTCATGATGACGGGAAAGGAGTGCAGCACAGACTCAGATAAAGTGCAGGACAAAAACAAACCCCAGGTCCCTGGGAACTTTTATCTGATTCTTTTTTTTTTTTTTTTTTTAATTTTTTAAATTGCTGATTGCCTGGATAAAACACAGATTTGCCATAAACTCAAAGGGAAGACTTCAGTACAGAGTTTCCCAGAAGAGCCACAGCTGGGAGGGACATCTGCAGATCTCTGGTCTGATCCCTGCTCAAAGCAATGTTAAACTGGGATTTAGACTCAGAGCCTAGACGAGTCAATTTATTAAAATCTGCCAGGGCAGCAATTTCACAGCTCCTCTGGACCCCTGCTGCCACACCAGACCCTCCAAGAACATTTTTTCCTACACATTCCTGGCATTTCCCTCACTGACTCCTGTACTTTCTCTGCACATCCCTGAAGGGCCTGACACTGTCTTGTCATAACCCCATTAGGAAGCTGAAGACAGCACAAAGGTCTTCTCCTCCTTTTTATCCTTCCCCCTACTCCACATGCAGCCCCAGTGTGATGGCCCTTTGCTGGACTGGTATGTCCCCATCTTTCTTGTACTGGGGAGCCCACAGCTGGACCCAGCACTGCTGATGTGTCTCACTCGTGCCAAGCAGAGGGGGAGAATGATTTCCCTTGCCCTGCTGGTGATCCTCAGAGTGCAGTCCAACAAAGAGTTAATTTTCATTTTAATGCAATTAATCCAGCACCAGCAGGGATGTAAAGACAGGCAAACACAGCAAGCCTAGCTGATCTCAATGCACTCACAGTTTGAGAGCTGATAAAACAACCTGAGTCCTATTCACTTTTAACACAGGTATCCCAAGCTGCTTGAGTAAATGGGATTTTAATCACATAGTTTGTGGCAATTTTGAGCAGTGAAGCACCTTTAAGAAATGTGTTTTCACATTTAAGAATTTAAGCACCTTTAGAAATGTGGAGCCATGCACTGGTTTAGCTTTTCTCGGAGCTCTTCAGCCCAGCATCTCTGCAAATGTCTGAGGTGCCTGGTCTGAGGAGTGTCTGAGAAGTCTTGTCTCTCAGGAAATGCTTTTCAAGCCACAGAGAACTTGTTTTGAGTAGCACATAACCATTTAGCTTACTCTTCTGTAGTACATGGGGTTACTCTATTTGCAAAGTAGCAGAATGCAGAAGTACTGCTTGTAAAGATATAATAATACAGCAGAAATATTAACCCATACTTTTCTGGAAGTCCTGAAAAGGTTTTGCTAAATAAAATCCTATCAAAGTTAATTAAATATAGTAAACTCTAAGAGTGTAATTCATTTCTTCTCCCTGTTTAGTACATCCTGAATAAAATCTACTTTAACGTGGCAGTGAAGGGTAGGTGTCTGCATTAGATTCACTGTAAGACACCTAAATGCTGTGAAAGCATGATAAGAAATGTTCTATTTCTCAGAAAGTTGTGGAAAGAGAAGAGTTATCAATTTAAAAACCAATTAAAATCAGCACACCCTTTCCAAGAGGCTGTCTCTCTTGCCTTAAGAACAAAAGACCATGAGCACCCAAGCCCAGTGTAATTCCTGCAAGACTCCCGGAGCGGCAGGGTCATGGATATTTTCTGTTAGCTCAAATATAGCATGGCACCATTCCAAGCCTGCTCCTGAGGCAGTGGTGTGACCTTATCAAAAGGATTTTGCTGACTCCTGGAAGATTCCTTAATTTAATATTCTGTTGTACCTAGCTAGGACTTAAATAGTGCTGGCTGCTTAGATAAGTTGATTACAAAGTCCCAGGATGGCTTTACTCTGCAGTCTAAATTGCTGCTATTCATGCAGCAGAGATCCCTTTTCTGCATACTCCATCAGCAGAATACCACCAATATTTAAAGGCCATATTTAAACCTCTGTGGACTAGCAAGGAGAGCTTGAATGGATTTTAATTATTGTGAAGTTTTAACAAGAGGGGAGCATAAAAAGCATTCTTGAACTTCAAGAAGGGATGAAAAAATGTCCTTGAATAGATGTTTAGAGCCTTCTCTGAGTCTTTCAGAAACACTGACTCCTACTTTCAATCTCCTGATGGTGTTTTAGAGAGAAGCAAGGACTGGAAAAGATACCATTTCAATTAACCTTCAGCAGCACTTCTGACAGACAAAGAGAAAAATCCTGCATGGGTTTGTATTGCTGTGTTCTTGTGCACAAGACATTATGAAATGACCTGTTCTGATTAAAGCCAATGATTTTAAGAGAAATTCTCATAAAGAAAAATTATAAGGTCCTTCTCTACTATTTAAAATCACTGAAAACTCTCAATACATTGCAGGAAGTACACAGCCCAACACAGGTATAGGCATGACCATATTCTGTACCTACAATGTCACAGAAGATTTGCCAACAATTTTTCATTATTTCTTCTGTTCACAGACTGAAAACTCACTGTGGTCTGACAATCCAGCAAGATATTATTCTTCTCTTTCCACTGTAACTCTGCTCCTTTCCCACAGCCACTAAACCCACATGCAGACCAGGTTTGGTTTGTTGACCAGCACTGGGAAACTTTGTTCAGTAAGAAAATTTTAAAATGGAAGCACATTCTCAATCCTGCTCATTTCTGGGTTCTAACAGCACACAGGCTGATGAAGAGATAAAATCTTAGCCCAGTGCAAAGCTGTATATAGGAAAGTGCTCTGAGCCAAGGAGGTTTGCTATGCCTTTCATATTCTTGCAGAGGAGCTCAAATATCCCCTTCATGGTCATTTGACTGAAACAAATAAAATTTATTTCCATCCAGAAAAGGTCACTTGCCCTTCCTACAATAGGGCAAATAAATATCAATTAAAAAACACAGCTGAAATTCCCTTTGGGGTGTACAGACCTTTAACACCTGAGTGACATCATGTCAGTGCCCACCTCCACCACACATCCCAAGAATGTCTCCAGCTGTTCCCAAGTCCTGGCACTGATGTCCAACCAGCCTTGGTGAAACCACCCAGAAAATTCCCACTAACACGGACAAAGGATTTCTAAGCAGAGCACAGGAGTGTGATTTCCATCCTCAGCCCTGTGTAGGTGCCCCTGAGGTGTCCATGGCCCAAGTCACACCTCAGGGCCAGCATGTCAGAAACCCACAACACACGGTCAGTGAAAGAGATAATGAACAATTAGCACATGCCTCATCTGCACTTACTTCACTACCGCAGGTAAAGAATGGGCCAAGCCCAGGGGTACCGTGTATCTTCCTGAAATAACATGAGCAATTTCTTACTTTTTCTTGATCTGGAGAAAAACTTGATGCCCCCAGGAGAGGTAGACGGGTTAGAATTGGGGGAAGACTCTTTGGAGGAGGACCTGAAGATCCCACTGAAGCTCATTCGGCGTGGGGAGCGTGGGGGAGACTCCTGGTAGGGGAAGGGGAACACTGTTTTGGGTGAGCCAGGACTGTGTTTGGATCTCACAGGGGCAGAAACAGGGCTGGAAGGTCGGTTCTGGAGCCCTTTTGAGAAAAGGCCTTTTGAAGGACTGCCGGCTGAGTAGCTTTCGTCCACCTGAGGAGGAGAGAAGAAGGAAGAAAAAAAAGAAAAATCTCCATTAATTCAGTTCAGTTCAGGCCTCCAGGATTTTTGAACTTGTCTCAACAGAGCCAGCTCCTGTTTGCTGGGTGGATCAGCCAGAGTTCCCCTTCCCCAGCATCTTGCCTCCACTGACACGCAGGTGTGTGTGTGCCACCTCTCTGGCCTCGTGCTGCCCCCTGCTCCTAAAGACACCCTGAATTTCACAAAAACATTTCAAGGTCTGCATACATTTTATTATCACACATATAATGCAGGACTTTGCTTACTGTTTTTATTTGCCACGCACCCCTCTTCCTTCCCTGCACAAATGAAAGATGACTGGAATGAATTTATTTAAGGCAATGAATGATCGTGGTTAGGAAAACACGGTGCCCCAAAGTCTTCCCCACGAATTTAAGCACCCACCCACACTGCTTAAATCTCCATCCCATGATGTGACTCAGCACAGCACACAAGTCCCCAGGTGCCTGACAGGCCTCCATGACACCCACCACAACCACAACTGTGGGATTGCAACTCCTACCCCAAAAATAGAGGAACCATTTTAGAGTGATGACGCTCCTGCTAATTACCTGAGCTGGCATATGACCTTTCTAACAGCTGTATCCCTTTTGGGATCTGTGCAGCCTTTCCAGCAGTGTGCACTGTGCAGGCTCACCCAGAAAGGGGAATAAAAGAACCCAGAAAAACAAACAGAAAAAAGAAATCAAGATTAAATTTTCCTCCCCTTACAATTAACAGAAAAACTCCAAAATCTCTGTGGGATTTGCATGTGCCTGGGCTACAGGGAGAGTTTATTTCCTTCTGGAAGCACAAAGTCATTCTGTGGGTATAAGGCTGCTGTTTTAGCTAGGACATTTCTCATGAGTGAAGATCTCTGTTCCTGGCAGAAGGCAGCAGTGGGTTTCAGGTCACCAGGGAATGCTTAAGCCAAGGCCAAGGTGGATGTGCCCTCAGCCCCCTGCATGCCTTCTCCTCTCTGCCCAATTACTCAACACAAACCAGGAGGGATGGAGCAGGCAGCAGCTCCTCCCTGTGAAGATGGCTCTTGCTGTGTGTCAGTCCAGTTAGGTAAGGGCATTGCTGCCATGGGGGTAATTTTAGGGAAAAATAGCATCTTTCATTAGGATGATTTAGATGAAAGGAAACCTCACAGGCACATATGCTCTCCTTTGGGTTGGTGAAGGGCTTGTGTGTATGAACCCAACTGAAAATGGTCAGCAAAGTTTAAAACCCATGCAAATAACTCCCTCTTCAAAATAGTGTTTATTCACAGCTCCAAAACACTTGTAGAAACATGTACAAGCAGCATAATGTCCAATTAGCTGCTCCCTCCATAACCCAAGGTCCCCTTCAGGTAGTCCTTTCTGTGTCCTGCACATGCACTTTGCACCAGCTCCTCTTTCCACTTGGGATGGGGCAGAGCTGGAGCAGGTCCCAGTGTGCAGAACTGCAGAATGGCCTGCAGAGATTACAATCTCCCTTTTGGGAAGGTTTCCAACCTAAAGGGCAAGTGGCACCTTGTCTGGGAGATGGACACCAATAAGCATGGTTCACCAAGAGGGGCACAGACATGTGCCAGCACAGCCCTGGTTAGATGATGAATTCTGCTCTGTGTCCCCCTGCACAGCACAGAGATGTCTGACAGGAGACAGAACAATTATTTTTATAACTGCATTCCTGTTTTTGACAGTGTGGGCAAAAATGTCTCAAACATATACCTGTCCTTTTACAGATGAATTAGGGGAGCAGTTGCCCTCAAGGGGGAATTTTTGAAAAAGATAAATCAATTCTAACTGAAGCATCAGCAACTACCAAAAGAAACAACAGATTCTGGACAGTCTCCACAAAAGAAAAAAAAAGCAGTAGTTTCATGCTTAATGCAGTTGCCTGAGGACCAGGCTTGCCTCCTAGCTCTGTCACAGATTCTGTGTGTAATCTTGAAAACTCATTCCAAATTAAAAATCTATTCTGCCATGAGGATTGTATCTCCTTTATTCCTCTAAGGCCTCCACCACTCAGACTGTCTCCCAGTGAGTATATATCAAGAATAATAGGGCACAGTCCCTCAACTGAGACCTGGAATAACAACCACAATATAGGAAGTTAATAAACAAATTGCACTTTTGTCATGGGTAAAACAGTCCCAAAGGGATAACTTTCTCATAAAAGCTCATTAACTTTACTAAAATATCACCTGTAAATCATCTGAGACTACTTATGCCTTGTTCTTTTCACAACTACACAGTTCAAGGAACAACCAAGTAGCACAATGGTACCTCCTTCTGCATTGCAATTTAAATAGGTCTGCTGCTAAATCTACTGCCTGAAAGTGAGTAGTAAGAACATTTTCTGTCTTATTTTAATCATGATACAAATCTGCCACTGCTACTGTAGTTTAGCTGTGTTTCCAGGATGGTAAGTTCATTATATTTTTTCCTAAAGTGACAAGCCATTTATAAAGCCAAGGACCTCATTCTGGCACTATCCTTAATGCTTCATGTTCTTTTTTTGCATGCTTGTTTGGTTAAAATGACACAGATAGGAGACACTTCAAAACTGTGGTGTCCTTACACACTAAAGCAATTTTAGAGATGTAAAATGTCAAACAAAAATTTGTCAAAAAGGTCAGTATTCCCTTGTACATGCAAGCCAGACACAAAAGCAAATTGTTCTCAAATTCTGAGCAGAAGCAGCAGGGTGTTTTTATTTATTGCAATCACAACCAGTTGCCTTTTCTCCATCGTGCCAAGCAAATGAATTAATTAATTGTCAGAGCACCAGGGGCACACTGCTAAATACACATGTGCATGCTACCAAATTAAAGGAAATTACTACATTGAATTCTTCCCCAGCCTGTTAATTACACTCAGGTTACACCCACCATCACAGAGGGTAAATATGTGTGATTTTGCTTGGGGAATTACAACAGGATTGCTTGCTTAGAATATCATTTGTGGCTAATGGGTTGCAAGTTTTAAAAGATGATTAGGTGCTTCTGCAAGTAAAATCAGCAGCAACAGTTATCACAGCACATCCAAAAGTCATAAGGCAATGCTTATTTTCATGCCTCAACTGGGAATGCAGAAGAATCTTTGCTGTGGAATAAACCCCGTCAGCCCATGCAGACTTGGTGTGACAACTCTGGCAGTGATGCTAGAGGCAGGTTACACAGCTAGATCATTCATCAGCCTGTTCTTCATGCTTTTTGGACTCATTCCCTGAAGCTATGATAGGCAGGTAGGCTGAAAACTCCCACATGTGCTTTGGAAAGATAACTACTCCCCCAGCTGAGCTGTAGTAGCAGAATAAAAGTATTACACCCTGATTTCTCACATTAGTAAGCACTGTGAATCACTTTGTGTTGGCCCAGGAGAAGCTCTAAAGAGGGAACGGGCAGAAATATGAAACATGTCTAAAAACCCATATAAAAGCACATGAGGATATGGCTTATTTTACCCCAAACAGAAAATTGGCCTCTTGGAGAGAAGGAATCCAAACACAAAATGCAAGTACAATACTAATCAATGCACAAATAAGATCTAAAAAAAAGTTTGAAAAATTCTTCTAAGTACTAAGACTGTTCACCTAATTAAAACAAAACAAACCAAAACAAATAAAAAACCACAACAAAACCAAAACAAATACCCCAAAAACTCCAACCAACCAACAACAAAACATTTCCTATGCTGGCTTTGTGCAAAGCATATATGGGATGTTTGAGCTCTCTGCCCATCTCTGGACTCCTTAAACCTTAAAATTGGTTATGCTGGAGAGAAATGCCAGCTGCTGACCTTACGCCTGCAGAGAACAGTGGAGCTGGAATAGGGCTAAATTAGCAGCTGGGTGATAGTGCCAGTGTAACCCTACCCTCAGCCTAGAGCAGTGTACTCCCCAGGGAGGTGAAGCAACAGAGCAGAGCCCTGCCCTGCATCAGATGCACCGGTTCTAGTGACCAACTGCACCTGTTCAAGGCTGAACTGGTTATGTCACACAGCACTGAAAAAAAATCTCCTGAAATGCTCTAAGTTGTTATCAGTTTTCATGCTTTGCAGCACAAAAGGGTCCCGAGCTGGGGACCAGGGAGAGATTTTGCCCTCTTGTACACACTATGTTATCACAGGCAAGTTTCGAAAATACATCCAGAATTACCCACTCTTTAAAATAGAGCAACAAAACGAGGCATGTCTTACAGTGTTTGGCATCTAGGAGACTTAGCATCCCATTTTTTGAGTGAAACATAAAGTGATAGTGGGGCATTTGCACAAGTCAAGCAGCTCTGAAAGATTTCACTACAAGGAATAAGATTATGAAAGCTGCCCCAGTCATTTCACCTGAATGACGGAATCTTTCTCTCTTCCTAATCTCTTCTTCCTTTCTCCTAGTCTAGCATTTGGCTCTGCAACAGGATTGTGCACAAACCCTTTGTCTTCAGGCCAAGAGAACACTCCCTGACCTCTTTTACTTGTTGCTCTGTTTAACATACATCAAGTGAACAACCTTGTATCTTGTGTGGTTAAGAATTATCCACCCTGAAGGTCATCCAAATCTTCCTGTATAAGATCCCTTTCTATGATTAAAAAACAATTTCCTTTGCATCTTCAACAGATTTAGTTACTGTGCTTCTGTTTTTTGTCTCAGCTTTACTGGCAAAGACCCAGGAGTGACGCTGGGGAAACCCCACTGGTTCTGTCCCTCCATGCAGCACTCATCCTTTCAATATTTCCTTCATCTGTTTTCTTACCTGGCTTGCAATTTTTCATCTTATTTCACAAGAAATACTGAAGTGCACTACACTTAATCACTACCATATGATAATCCCCAGTGCAATGGGCTAAGATAGCAAACTATTCATATTTCACCACTGACTGGTCTCTCGTCATCCTCACACCACCCATCTCAGCCCTGCCACGGGCAGAAATTTTCCCAACACTGTTATTTTCATTCCTTTGCTTTAGATTGGAAATCTGATC